CCTCTACTGCTGCTGGAACTATGCTGGCGCTGCCTCTGGAGCAGACCAAAGGTAAGTGCCCGCGCAGTGCAGTGCTGGGCAAGTCGTGGCTGCCGCGCAGCCTGAGGTGGCCTCCAAGGGCTTGCTCCACGCGACAGCTGCGCCAGCGTCCACTAGGCCAGGTACCTACTTTTACGCCTATGGGGCCTGCTTCTGCAAGGTACCCCTCACAGAGTCCCACATCCTGGATGTGAACACGACGAGTGGCATTGAGCCACCCTGGAGCCCTGGACCGAACGCCAAACAGCTGGCGGGCAACTGTTTCTTGGGGTCGGGCCGGGTTCAGCACCTAGCTGTCAAGGTGGGCGTTGTTCAAAGGGCCAGACGGCTGGCAGGACATGATGGAGGTGAATCACTGCGCATTCGCGTGGCAGGTGAGCGACAATTTCATCCCGTCTCGCAGCAGGCTGATGTACCGAGGACATGCATAGTCTCATGGCCCGCCCTGGAGCTCGCGCCTATTCCCCTGCCTGTTACCCTTTCCACAGCATTCGAGCCCGGAGCAAACAGCGTCGGCTGTCAACCAGCCGTCAAGCTGCCCCTTGGTATAATTGCAGTCCCACTCCACGAATAAAGGAGTTGAGCTGATGTTGTCCCCGTTCCAACCTCGAGCCGTTGGTGGACTTTGCGGCCAGCAGCAACTGAGTTATTGCTTTTGCTTCCTTTTTTCGGTTGCAAGCCGCCGTCCATTGGACAGGTGCCCCTTGGAGCGGTGGGCTGGAGACGCTGTGCTTGGACAAAAAAGTTGATGCCTAGAATGTAGCCGGGGTCGGCTGCGGTAACACAAAGTATGGGGTGTTGATTGCTCTTTTAAAGTTGACACATTAATTACTCCGTACTCGTGCAGAGTGCATAACACGACAGCACAGTCTTTGAGCTTTGTCGGTAGGACTCAGTACTTCGTAGTGCACAGCTTGCATGCCGCCAAGCAGGTGTGCGTGGATAGCCGCGCATTTCCCACCAGAGTGCAACATTGCAACATTGTCAGGATTCCGGTGTCGACGATGGCCTCGAAATGACAGAGGTTGCATCTCTCGTTCAAACATGCCGTCGAGGGTCGCAGTCGTGCACTTTGATCCCGTCATGGTTGGTGGCCTGAGGCAGATGGCACTGACACCTCAGCGCCCCAGCAGCGGGCGGCCACCGTGCACTTCACCAGCGTCACTCAACCGCCCGCCTCTGCCAGCGGGCCTTCCAACCTCATCCACGAGCAGAGGAGTCGACAAAAATGCAAGCCATCACACTGGGGGCCGCCTGGCGGCCGCTCATTCTGATTGTCATGGCTGTGGCTCATGCAGAAGCTCTGCGATGTGCCATGTACCTGACGGGGTGAGCTTCCCTGCACTCACCACCAGCCCATGCCGGTGTGGACTAACGACGCTCCAGCCAGCACAACGTGGTGCCCGCAGATGCAAACATGACTGCCGACATCACTCATGTGATTCTCGCCTTTATGCGATCCGACACCTTCAACGTTGATCAGTCGCCGCCCACTTGGCCGCTCTTCACCACTGTTGATCGAGTCCGACCCCGGTTTGGTCCTCACACCAAGGTCATGATTGCGATTGGCGGATGGGGCGATTCACTGGGCTTTGAGGAGGCCGCTCGCGATGCCCAGACGAGGGCTCGTTGGGCTGGGCAGGTTGCGGCCATGGTAGCCCAGACCGGCGCCGACGGCGTCGACATTGACTGGGAGTATCCAGGGCAAGTCTGACGTTTCCCCGTCACATTTGACAGACGGCTGACAGCTGTGCAGAGGCAACCGGGACGACTACAAGCAAATTCCCAACGATAAACGCCAGTGGGAGGTCGAGGCCTTTGTTCAACTGCTTGACGCCCTGCGAGCCTTGCTGGGCCCGCACAAGATGCTGTCCATTGCCGTTCCGGCAGTCGAACGTGACTTGATGGCCTTTACGCCCTCCACCGTTCCACGCATCATCAAGAGTGTCGACTTTATCAATGTCATGACCTATGACATGATGAACAGACGAGACACCACGGTTCGCCATCACAGCGGTGTGGCCGACTCCCGAGATGCCCTGGAGCGTTACGTGGACCGCGGTGCGCCGCCGGCTATGCTGAACCTTGGCCTCGGGTACTACGTCAAGTGGTTCATGACGAAAGACTGCGACCCGGATCATCCTCTTGGGTGTCCGACGCAGCTCCTCGAGGATCCCGAAACGGGTGCCGACAAGGGCAGGACAGCTGCCTTTAGCTATCACGACGAGACCCCGAGCGAGCTGGTCGAGTCGTTTGCTCGCGCCCGGAGCCACGGCACCTACTTTGACGACGGCAGCTATGGCTACTGGGACGAAGCAGAGCGACGGTGGTGGTCCTTTGACACGCCACAGACGATTGAGCGAAAGCTGGCCGAAGTCGTTGGGCCATTCAAAGCTGGGGGCGTTTTTGCCTGGGGCCTAGGTGAGGATGCGCCCAAGTTTGAGCATCTGGCGGCTACGACGGCTGGAGCCAAGCGATTGAGGGAAAGGCGGGATGAGTCTGGGAACGAGGCGACCCGGGACGAGCTGTAAGGCAAGTATACAGGGTGGGCTACGGATATATGCAGTCTGACGAAATGGATGGGCAGCCTCCCCGTCATCCAACTACAAAGCTTCGGTCAACTTGGTCGCCTAGCCTCAGCCTGGCCGATGACAGATCAGGCTGAACATTTGACAAGCCTCAGGTGCCATCCTGCATCATGGCAGCGTTGCATCCCACGTGGCGGGTTGTCGCCAGCATGCTGAACGGCGCCAAGGACATGACGATCAGGAGCCAAGGAAGGATCCGCGTCCAAACAGGTACGGTCAATGTACGAGTGCCATTACTTCGGATTGTTTCCCCATCTTGTCGGCTGCTCTCATCCGGACGGATGCCCCCTTACGCGCGCGGCGTTCTTGAACGCTTAAACGTGTTGAATTGACTTTGCTGACTTGTTACTTACTGCACAGAGTCTTCAAAAGTCCTCGAACGCCGGCCATGATGGCCAGAAGTCCAGCACTCCACGAGTCCACGCCGCCTGCGAGGTGAATGATTGTCCAAAGCTCCACCCACTCGACAGGGCAGCCGATGCGCCGGGGTGGGACGGCGGGGACGGCGGGGAGCGGCGAATCACACTCGTCCGTGGCGGCACGCATCCCCCCGGGCCTTGGGATCTTACAACGACTTGTATCTCAGCGGCCCAGGGCACCCAGCACGTGTCGGTTTGCTCGCATGCGGTTGACCGCCTGCAGCCCGATAGGTTTAAGCATCAACGTTGGCCTTTAAGCTTGTACGACTCCCGCCCGGGTCGCTCGACGGTCTAGCCCCGGCGTCCTGCACCGCGCCGCACCCGCCGCAGAGGACCAGCGATTCACGACCCGCTTCCAGCGAGTCTTGATTAGAATGGATGCAATGGCCGTTCAGGAACCCGCTCGTGCTAACGTCGTCAGATACCGAGCTGCAGGCGAGGCACCGCGGGCGGCCCCAACCCAGTGTCACATCGGGGCCCCGATGCGCGACTCTCCAGTCTCCACGCTAGAGACTACCGAGGAGCCCCGACCCCGGCGACGCCCAGCAACGTGCGCACGCCGCCAAGGCGAGGTGAATTCTCCCGGCCCTGGGACCTGCCTTGTCCGGCCGCGGATGACGACGTGGGCCATGCGCCATCCGGCCAGGATGCGTATAAGATGAGGCGGGCGCCCGTGCTCGCGCTCATCTTGCTGCGAGTGGAATCGAGTCGCTGCCATTGACACCGCGCCAGTGTCATTGCCGTCGTATACGCCAACGTCCGTCGCAAGCAAGATGCACCTGTCTCCCATCGTGGTCGGCCTGGCCCTCGCGGCCGTCGGCGGCGCCACGCCGTGCCCGCCGCGCGGCATCAAGCCCATCAAGCAGATCGAGCTGGGCCCGCGGCCGTACTTTCTCGTCAACAACATGACCGACGGCCCGCTCAAGAAGACGCTGCAGCAATGCACCGAGAAGCCCATGAAGCCGTCGAGCTGGTCCATCGGCCACCGCGGCGGCGCGCCGCTGCAGTTCCCCGAGCACTCGCTCGAATCGAACCTGGCGGGCGCGCGCATGGGCGCCGGCGTGCTCGAGTGCGACGTCGCCTTCACCAAGGACCGCGAGCTGGTGTGCCGCCACAGCCAGTGCGACCTGCACACGACGACCAACATCGTCGCCATCCCCGAGCTCAACGCCAAGTGCACCAAGCCGTTCCAGCCGGCCGCCAACGGCAAGCCCGCGTCGGCCAAGTGCTGCACCAGCGACATCACGCTCAAGGAGTTCAAGTCGCTGTGCGCCAAGATGGACGGCGCCAACGCGTCGGCCACGAACCCGCAGGACTACCTCGCCGGCACGCCCAGCTGGCGCACCGACCTGTACGCCACGTGCGGCACCGTCCTCGAGCACAAGGAGCACATTGCGCTCGTCGAGGCGCTGGGCCTGCGCCACACGCCCGAGCTCAAGGCCCCCGAGGTCAAGATGCCGTTCCAGGGCGTCTACACGCAGGACATGTACGCGCAGCAGTTCATCGACAACTACAAGAAGGCCAAGGTCCCCGCGTCGCGCGTCCTGGCCCAGAGCTTCGAGTACCGCGACGTGCTGTACTGGCTCAAGGCGGAGCCCGCCTTTGGCAAGACGGCCATCCTGCTCGACGAGTCGGGCGACACGCCCGAGACGTATCCGCAGGCCATCAAGAACCTGACGGCGTACCACGCCGCGGGCGTGCGCACCGTCGCGCCGCCGCTGTACTACCTCGTCGAGACCAAGGGCGGCAAGATTGTGCCCAGCGAGTACGCGCGCCGCGCCAACGAGCTGGGGCTCAAGATCATCACCTGGAGCCTCGAGCGCTCGGGGCCGCTCGCCGCCGTGCACAAGAACGGCGACTACTACTACACGTCGATCCGCGACGTGGTGCGCAACGACGGCGACATGTACGAGCTGCTCGACGTGCTGTACCGGGGGGCCAAGGTGGCGGGCCTGTTTTCCGACTGGAGCGCGACGGCCACCTTTTACGCCAACTGCTTTGGCGTGGGGCTGTAGGTGTGTAGCTGCCTGGTCTGGGAAGCAGGGTGACCAAGGGGATGCAGTTGAGCCGGCTATACCAGGGGAAGAGCTAGCAGCTAATAAGGAAGACAAAAGAGTCCGGGTATACCTATACTTCTTGTACCTAGAGCTTGATTTGAGGCAGAGTAGTCCATCTTGTATATGAAGACTCGAAGAGGCTGAAGGCTCTCAGGGCCCCCATCGATGCATCACCACCCATCTTGCCGTTCCCCCAACAAGACCAACAACCTCAGTCAGTGGTTGACCGGCATAGACACCAATCCGTCCATACACCGCGATACCGTCCACGACTCCAAACCTCAAAGCCCCCTACTCCTCACAACCTCCACCTCGCGGTAACACCTCCCAACCCCCCCCAGCAACACTCGTCCGTCGCCCCCCCCCACCACGTCCAGCACCCGTCCAACCACGCCACCCAGCACCTCCTCCAGCCTCCGCGCGCCCATCGTCCCGACCAGCTGCGCGGCCACCCCCCGCTGTGCGTCGCTCAGGCCCGACCCCGCGGCGAGTAGTAGCAGCGGGCGGTCTGTGAAGGCGGCGTGCGCGGTGCCCGCTACGGAGAGCTCCACGATGGGACCACCGGCGCTGCTGCTATTGCCGCCGTTGAGGATCGGCCAGGTGGCGTTCCAGGTTGGGTCTTCGGCGCGGTGGTTCGGGCGGCCGAGTTGCACGAGGGGGCCGGGGCGCTGCCTCTTCTTCTCCTCCTTCTTCCCCTTGTTCTCTTTACTGTCGCTATTATCCCGCTTTTGTGTCTCTTCCCTCGTGTACCCCGTCTCTCTAGCTTCCCGCCTGTGCCTCTTGTCCTTTTTCTGCTCGTTGGTGACGGGGATGGGTACGGGGAGTGACGATAACGGCGCGACAGACGCCGCGGGGAAGACGACCCGTCCGTCGAGGTTGATGGCGGCGACGGCGCGGGACGGGTCGCTGAGGAGGAGGGCCGCGGCGGCGGAGCCGCCGAGGGAGTGGCCAACGATGAGGGCGCGTGGGGGGGAGTGAAGAGGAAGGTAGAGGTGGTGACGGAGAGGAGATGGGAGGTGGGCGAGGAGTGTGGGGATGTTGTTGAGGAGAAAGGATATGTCGTCGGCTCGGACCTGTTTATACATATGCGCGTGTAAGCCCGGGTTCAAGATAACACAGGGGGATACACCACACCACACCACACCACGCAAGCACAAGCACAAGCACAAGCACAACCCGAGGCCACACGCATACACGCACCAACAGCCCTCGAGGTTTTCAGAACCGAGGACAGTAAGCACAGAAAGTAACGGAGTAAAGGGCAGGAGGCAGAACAGCGTAAAAAGGAGGTTGAGCACGTACCTTGACCAGCCTACTCAGCGCCTCCTCATCATCCCCCGAGACGTTCAGCCCAGGCACGACGCTCCCGTCGGGGAACTCGACGCCCGGCTGCGCCTCAAAGGGGTGGTCGACGGTCACGACGGGCAGGCCGGTGGTGCTGGCGAGGGAGCGCGCGAGGGCGGAGTAGAGGAGGCGGGATTCGCTGAGGCCGGGGGTGAGGACGATGAGCTGTGCTTTTCCCCCTTGTCCCGTGCTGCACCTCCCACCACCACCACTGCCTTTTTTGTCGTTTGCGTCATCATTGCCGTCATTGCCGTGGTACGTGGTGTTGCAGGAGGTATCGTCGCTGGCCGTGTTGTTGGTCCGGCGCGTATGATGGGTGCGACACCGCAACGGGTTCGCAGAACAACGTGCCGGTGGTGGATGTGGTGATGGTATGTAGGCAGGATCGCACGTCTGCATCTCAAAGCGCGAGTACAAATCCTCCGGGAGCCCATACTGCGCCGCCTGCGCACCATACGAAGCCGCCACCGCGCGCGTCATGTACGGCAGTGTCTGCAGGCGGCAGCCGTTTCCGCAGTCCCACCACGGCGCCGACCCGTTTGTGCTGGTGTCGTTTCCGCCCTCACACGAAGGGTGCTTAGCGGAACCAGCGGCGGCGGGGAGGAGCGGGACGAAGACGGATGTGAGAATCCGGCGGCGGGGGATGGGTTCCGGGGAGGAGGAGTGGGAGGAGGAGGAGGACGAGGTGAGGGGGCTGCCGTCGTCGCGGCGGGAGGGGTCGGTGAGGGGCACGATGGCGAGGGCGACGGGGGAGGGGCCTGGTGGAGGGGGAACGAGGACGGCGGATGAGGCGCCGAGGAGGAGAGTAGGGACGAGGAGTAGGAGATGGAGCATGATGGGCGGTGGTCCGGTCGCGGGTTTTGTTGTCGGTCCAGGCGATATGGAGGTGAGCGAGCGAGCGAATGCGTATCGGAGAAAGGGTGATGAGAGTGCTATATTCGAGAGGCACACATGGATGTTTTATATGCGGCATGTGCTGCATATTGCTTGACATGGTGCTTGATGTGCCGCTCGCCGGGCGAAGCTGTCGAGTAGATTCGCGGTTAGAGATGACGCGGGATGCTGCCCGATCGGGGCATGACCTAGCGAGACCACGGCAGATGACGACCCAATACCGGCCATTCAATTATTAGCGAGCCACGGTGTAGGCAACGAGAGCGATGGTCTACCTGTATATCGTATTGCAGGCTAATTGTGAGCGTGATAGGTGGTCCGGGATGCCGTCAACGGCCGTGTAAGTCCAGCCGGCCCCACGCACGGCTTGCGCACCCCTTCGCCCGATGATTTCCTATTCGGGCAAGCGTCGCGGCTCCAACGGCCCACGCGGTCTGAGCTCCGCCTCGACTCATCAACCACCCGACCTCAAGCTTCCAAACACCTTCAGCCGCAAGCCAGCACTCACTCACTTTCCGTTCCTTTCTCCCTCTGGCCAACGACTCAGGAAGCTCGGCACGTTTTCTTACCGCCCGGAGCAATGGCTGCGTTTTTCATGCTATAACTGGACTGGCGCGGTGAGCAGCATGATGATGATGGTACAGCACGGGCACGAGCAGGTGCAGGTGCAGGTGCAGGTGCAGGTGCAAAAGATCGGCCCGCTGGACGCGCGGAGGAAGAGGTCCCGCTGCGAGGGCTGCGCGAGGAGCCATGTCAAGGTACGTGTGTGTGTGTTGTCCGTCGCGACGTTATGCCTGCATCCGGTCTGGCCTGTCATTCACTGACCCTGAATCTACAACGCCCATTGGGAGTCAACGCTGGCGTGTTGCTCGCGGAATACAAGCTGACATCCTTGCGCAGTGTTCCGGCGGACACCCGTGCTCCCGCTGCTTGAAGCGTCGCACCGCGTGTTCATACCCCGACGCGCAGGACACTGCCAGCCCGAAGCACTTTATCCTCGTCAACGCGTCCGGGACACCCAGGCCGAGATCTGCCGCGTCGCCGGCCGTACCACTCGCCGACGAGCGGCTCCGGCTCGTCGGGGCATTTGACCTCTTTGCAAGGCGCAACAGCTTCACCGGCAAGACGGCCACGTGCGGCGACGAGGTGCGCGCGCTGGCGGGCCTGCACGCCGGCGAGAGCGGACACCTCTGGGAGGCCATGATGGCCCTGGGGGCCGTCTACGAGGCCAGGCTTGGGGGCGAGGCGGCGCTGAGGAAGAGCCGGATGGTGACGGCGCTGGGGCACTATGCGCGGGCGATCTCTGGGCTGCGGACGGCCATTGACAAGGGCATGAGCGGCCGGAGACGTGGGAAGAGTCCAGCACCGGAGCAGACGAGCATACTCTGGACGACGCTCTTCCTGGGGCTCTTTGAGGTGCGTTGATACACGCATGACATCTACAATTCCACCAGAGTTCAGAAACACTAACGCCCGCAGCTCATGAACGATGCGTCGGGCGAGGGCTGGCGGCAGCACATGGTGCACGGCACGGCCTCGGCGCTGCGGGCGACGGGGCCGGGTGCGTGCGCTCGGGGCCCCGGCCGGGCCTTTTTCGCGCAGGCGCGCATCTTCGAGGCGTGCCGCACGATTCTCTTCAACGAGCCGACGTTCCTGACGGACGCGGCGTGGGCGGAGCTGGCGCGCGGCATGTGGGCGGGTGACGATGGCCGGGTGAACGAGTGGCACCCGCTGGACTCGCTGCTGGATATCATGGTTATGTGTTCGCGGCTGCGGGTGAGGTGCGTGCGGCCTGTCCCTGAACTGACCCGATGCATGAAGATTGTGTGCTGACAAGGAGACGCAGGGCTGGGAGGTTGATGGACGACTGGGATGAGGGTCGCAATGACGACGCAGACGAGGCGCGGGCCATTTATGCCGACGGACAGGGACTCTGCGATGCGCTGCAATGCTGGCACGAGGCATACGCCCCAGACTCGACGGACGACGGCCCGACGGCTATCAACAGCAACGACAGCAGCACGCTCCTCGCGCTCGTCTTCCACGCCGCAACGCGCATCTACCTATCCGGCATATTCGACTACCGACGCGCCGAGTGGACGCTTCTTTGCGGGGGACTCGCGCCCACAGCGATGCTGCCGCAGGACGAGGTGGACGCGCACGTCGAGACGATCCTGGGGCTGACGCGCACGGCGCTGGCGGAGCAGAGGAGCGGCGGCGGCGGCGGTGATGATGCTGAAGGCAAGCTGTCGCCGCTGCTGTTCCTGTTTCCGCTGCGCATCGCGGGGGCGCGGGCGAGGGGCGGGAGGGAAGAAGACGGGGAGAGGAGGGAGCTCGTGGTGGAGTTGCTGGGGAGGGTGCGCGA